CATAATTTTATTGAAAAACAAATAGCAACGAGACAGTTTCAAGTCAAATTGGTAGGACAATTTCAATAATTAAAACATTGCATACATACTTCCTAGTGGTTAATTGCTGTACAAGATGTGGACATGATATCCTATTTACAAATACCTTTAGAACAAATCACTCTATTCATTAAGAGAATATAACTATATATCTATCCTAACCACTTTGAATGCACATATTCAAATGGACAGTCATCTGTATACCCTTTTTTTTGGATTAAGTTCCATTATTTGAATATTATAGGTGTGTAAACTCAGCAAAATATTTCAAAAGCGTCCAGTAGCGCATAATAATATTGGGTCTTCCGCTTGACTGGCAATGTCAGAAATTGTTGACCTGAGTCCCCTACAGTTCAACATAACAGCATGGCTTTACTTCTTATAATTCGTTTTTATATTTTTCTGCTGGATGGTTAAGACCAAGTTAAAGCGGGACCTATGCAACAAGAGTTGTAGCTTTTGGATATGATAAGGTCAGTGAAATTCCCTCAGGATTTATCCTGATATCCTTTACCTCAGATTGTAGAACCTCTGTCAGTGTCAGCCATATGGATGAGTCACAGCCATTGCTTGGCCACTGTGCTCTCTGTGAAAGTCTGAGAGAATGGTTTCTCTGGACGTGACTCTCCTTAGGCACACTCTACATCATCGATCACTTTCCTCTTTAGAACCTTAATCTCCTTGATCAGAAACTTTGGGACACTACCGAGTTACATGAGGATACAGTACAAGTTCTCATATGTCCTGAGTCTTAGATGACCTTGGAACGTTAGGGCCAAAATGTTGGCTTTCCTTGCAACTCTCCTTTTCCTCAAATTTTGGTCTGTAAACTTAGGTTGTTAACAATCCAGAAGACAAGCTTATTGTTATTACCCTACAACTTTGGCTGTTAAGCTTAACCTCACTATCTGTCTGCATATCAAACATCTTAGGCATAATACGGAACAGGTATATTTCATCAAGTATTGATATGTTGAACTTCAAATCCCTACAGAATATGGTAAAAACATTTAAAAATTAGAATATATTTTTAAAATAGGCATAAAGAATCATATACTTCTTATGTTTACACAAAAGTCCAAAAATCTCAGCATATACAACCTTGAAGCAGGACAGTCCCACAATATTCCTTTTCTATCTCTTGCTTTCTTTCACCACCCCTTTCTTTTTGAACAACCATCAACCCAAGAGACATCATAGCAGCAACTGGCATGTCATGACAAGTAGCCCATATTCAGAAGACCAGAATGACAGGCACTCCAAACCTGAAAATACTATCACAAATTACCATCAGTAGTGCAGTAACTTAGTTCACAGGTATTAGTATATATAGTTAGTCAGGGTGAGAATCTTTCCAATTAACTGCTAGATTAGACAATCTGAAGATTCTCAGGATCATTGCCTTGCCTGTCTTCTACATATAACTGTATGACTTGACTTTGCCATGTTTCCTAGCTCTTCTCCTTTCCCTCTCTTGATTAGTCAGTCCTTGAGATCCTGCTTTCCTTTTACTTGTATTATACCTTTCTATTTGTTTTTTTTTCAAAATTTTATTGATAAACACCAATGAGACAGTTTCAAATCAAATCGGAAGTACAGTTTCAACAAATAACACTCTGCATATATTTTTCTTAGTGGTTAATTGCTGTACAAGATGCGGACTTGAGATCCTATTTACAAACACCATTAGAACAAATCATTCTATTCATTAAGAGAATGTAACT